TTATGGAAACCCTAAGTTCAGCAGACTCTCATAAGTATGTAGATAATTTTTTTTTTTTTAATCAATAACAAGGTAAAACTTCAAAAGATGTCCCACAAGTCACATTTAATGACAAGAAATTAGCACTGTGTCAGTTTTCAATTTCAAGCACGCATCCACAAATGGTCTGTCCTTTTTCAAATTGTCCTTGTTGCTTCAAGAAATCAAATATAGAAACTTCAGATATTACTTCTATCCATGTTTGAAAGCAAACCATCTTTATGGACTGCAACAAGATGTTTACCATCAGATAGTGAGCTATGTGCAAATTAAAACATGTTCCTACCTTAATTGACAAGCTACCACTCATAACTAGAGATAAGCACCCTAAATGGGAACCGCCTTGCTGGTCACAGCATTTTGCAGCTTGCCAACTCTATGCACTTGAATGTCGACAAATGAACCCAGTAGTCCCTCAATGGCCAGGACAGAACATATTACTTTAGCTTCAACATCCTCAGCTTAGTTGAAGGCACAAAAGTTTGATCTTTAAATGACATTGATTGTTCAACCAGAAGCTTCTGGTCTCAACCCATTACTAAATTAAGCAGGAAAATACGTCAAGACACTCAGATCACATTACTCTCCACAATAAAATTAACACTTGATAAGGATAAACATAACATTTAGGAAGTCCTATATCTCCTTATAACACCTTGCAGAAAGAAATCAAACACCTATTCATCTAAAATATACATAGTCCAAGTAGTTCCAGAGCAACATCTAAACTTGAACAAATGGCCAGACAATGTTGCACACATTAAAAAAAAATTCTAATTGCAAACTTTGCCACAATCATTAGTTTAACTACCACAATGAAATGCATTGAACCATTATTTAGGAGTAGTTGTTGTAACTTTCTAACTTGGAAAGTCCTTTAAGATAAACTTCAGAAGAATTATCTTTCATAGCTATTCTTTTGGGGCAAGATATGATGCAACAATATTGTACTTTGTATTCTAATCCATTCACCATCTAAATAAAAGATAAAGTTCTGAATGCAGAAAGAGGGTGCCAAAATATGGCATAGAATGGATGAACCTTGAAACATTAACCCGATTCAACTTTCCAAGGACAAGGCGATCCACTATCATTGTAAACTCACACGAGATACAAGTTAGAAAAATAAATCATAAAGGACAATACAAATTCAGTTGACAAGCTCTGCTATTTTAAGGCCATGGAAGGAATAGACACAACAAGGAACAATATTCATCACATCTAAACCTCTCCAAGATGAATAATTGCATTCCAGTTACAGGAATCACAGCAACATAACAAACATGGATAATTTTTTATGCTATCATAGCATAGGATGTAGAAAAGGAGAATATTGAACCATCTCCATTAATCACCTAACTGGCAAAGAAAAGGAAAAACACTAGATTGATATGAATTCAAATTTCATGCCCATCTTTTGTTTCTAAAGCCTGTTAAGAGCTATTAATTCAATAAAATGAATGCCAGAATATGCTGTTTCCAGTTATGAGGTTAGGCAGCTAGCTATTTGTTAATCTTTATCGACCCACAAACAGGCACCTTTTTGATCGGTAATGAATTGCAGAGACAGCCGCTTGGAACGAGGTAACGGAGACTTCAGGAATCATTAAGTTTCACAAAGAACATGATCTTAGATATTCGCAAGCATGATAGCAAGAAAGGACATTCATGTCATGAAGAAACCAAATTCTTTCTGGAAACAGATTTTTTTTAACTTAATGCACATGTAAATGCATCTTACCAAAATATTTCCAGACCATCTGTATTAGGTTCTCTTTTTATAACTACTATATCATTGTAGGAAGAACAATCCACTACAATCTGCTCTCAACTTGACAGAGGCACATTTTCAACTAACATAATTCCAGAATCACCGTCTAAGTACTAGCTACTCATCAAAATCCAAAGAAAGAAACTTCAGCCACTCATATCCTAATCAACAAATTTCCAATAAACCGAAATAATAAGCTCATTTCGTAGATTATCAAGAACAAACAAACCAAAATTCAAAAAGGCATCTACGCAATTAGCACAATAAGCATAAGGAACAACATAATCCATAGGCAAATTCTCACTCGGAAAACCAAAAAATTAATGATACTTCGCAGAGATAAACTCACATATATGTTCAGTTGGCGAACGAAGCTGGAAAAATTGCTGTGCTTGAAGTGCTTTGGAAGCAATTCAGAAGAGAACCTAGAGACATCCCATATGATAAAGCTATTGCTATGTGTTTGACTCCACGAAATCAACTCATCGGTTGATTCATCGCTCACCATCTCATAAATTTTCAACAAAAATGGAGCCACTGATGAGCCATTCTCCAAAGATTTCACCATAATCCCGACTACAGAAAAACGGATAAAAAATAAACCAACAAAATCAACTTTTCTCGATGAAACTTTCACTTTTGAACAGACCCCCTTCAATTATAGCACTAAGAAGACAAACCCACTTCAATTTTGGTCCCAAAAATCAACCTTCTTCTACGGAATTCCACTTTTGTGAATTGGACCCACTCGACAATACGACCTAAGAAGAAAAACCCAGATGAATTTTGGTCTTAAAATCCAATCTTGGAAGTGGGATTCCAATAGTTTCCTCTTTTGAATCGAATTCGAGACCAAGTACCTGAATCCCTTGAATTATACTAATTTATAAGTGGGTTTAAAAGACTTGAGAAAGGGGCTAGGAATGTAGTCAGTTTGAGGTGCGCCTCTTTCAAAAGCGTGGTCCTCGCTCCACAGAAGTCTCTGGGAAAGTGAGGTCATGTATTGGAAAAGGGGAATGTACAGTGTTTTGATTGACAGAAACTCAAAAAGGGCGTAAAAGAGGGCACGGTGCAGATTCTGCTGAAGGTGCATTCTGATTGGTGCGTTAACGGGAACATTGACGGTGGAAAATATCTAAACGTAATCCGCTTTTTCTTCTTTTTTTTTAAAAGCGTGTTTCTTTGGAATTTGTCTAGCAAGTTGTTTGCAATGCAATTGGTAGATGAATAAAACTACTCTATAATTGAATCGAGCTCAACTCATGAGTTGAAAAAAAGGTCGTTCAAGTTTAATTGGTTAATTTCAATTACAAATAGTATTTTGTTTTTGATGAAATTTTAATTTTAATTCAAATTTTGTTCAATATAACTTGAAATTTACATGTCAAAAAAGGTTAAATTATTCGATAAAAAGCTCGTTTTACTACAACTTGATAAATAAGCAAAGTCAAATTTAAATATAAGTTCAACCTTATTAAAATAAATAAACAAATTTAAATACTAAAGTATTCATTGACTAGACTCCATAAAGCATAAACTCCTTAATGGGGCATTGGAATTGAGGGGTAAAGTTCACTATGCCCTACATGAAACCCACCCCAAGTCGAGAGGCCTACATGAAAAAGGCCCACTTGTTGGGCTGAAGGTTATGAAGTAGCTTCAAGAACAGACGCAAACAAAACAAGATGTCAAGGGTCAAAACACTTTCGCATGCCTTATTAGCTGTAGAGCCTTTTCTGGGCTTCAGCACTTAATCTAATCAAGGTACTACAGAGCTGAGTCGGGTCTGATAGTCCATTATTTGACTTGACTCAAGTAAAAATATTTGAAATCGAACCCGAACTCAATTTTGTCAAAATCTTCAAAGTGAGCTCGAGTTCAAATTTATTTTACCTTACTCGATCTCAACTTCAAACTTGACCAAATCGAACTCAATCGAACCAAATCGAGTTCAATTCAAGTTTTAAGCTTGATTTTTTAATAAATTTTATAATTTTATAATAAATAATTATAAATTATATTATAAAGGTTTTTCTAATCAGTATGCATAGGACATTTATTAACACACTTAACATTCATCTAACCTACTATGTGTATACATACACTAACAATTACTATTACTCTCCTGTATTTATATACCTTTTTCTATTTAATTTTACCTACTTTCTCTTGTATTTATTTACTTTTCCTAATTAATCTTATACTTCCAAAAATATGACACCACAATTATTACTCTCTCACATTTATATACTTTTTTTTATTTAATCTTACCTACTCTTTCTTATATTTACTTACTTTCTTTAATTAATCTTACATTTCAAAATATATAACACTTAAAATATATCTTAACGCATGTCCTATGAACATCCATCAGACATGTCCTATTATAAATATACTATTTGATAAGGCTCAATAAGTATTCAAGTTTTGATTTTTTTTACTCGAACTCAACTTATCAAATTCAGTGTATCTCAATACCGAATTTGAGTCAAACTTTTTGATCGAGTTACTTGTGAATCCAAGTTGAGCAGCTTGATTAATTTACGCCCCTAATATAACAGAGATCATGTGTAATGCTCTTAACCCTTAATGTGTTGCATTATCGCGTCTCAATCCTGTTTGTAAACGGCCCATGCTGCTGCGTGCATGATCCTAATGTTTGACAATTTCTTCGGTGTGCTGTAACTAGGGATGCAAACGAGTCAAACTCGAGTCGAGCTTTGACTAATCGAGCCGAGCTCAAGTTAATTTTGTGAAGCTCGAACTCGAGCTCGAGCTCGAGGAGCTCAAAATATCAAGCTCGAGCTCGAGTTCGAGTCAAATTCGAGTCGAGTTCGAGCTTAAAAAATAAAAAAATAATTATTATTATTTTATTTTTAAAAAATAAAAAATAAATATTTATTTTTAAAAATAAATAAAATAATAATTTTTTTAACAAATAATAAATATTAGGAATATATATGTAATTTTACTATTAAAATAAAAAATAAAAAAATATATATATATATATGTAATTGAGCTCGCGAGCCAACGAATTTAATGTTTTTGAACTCGAACTCGAACTCGAAATCGACTTAATTAGCTCGAATATCGAGTTTGAGTCGAACTCGTATTCGAGCCGAATCGCGAGCGGCTCGATTCGCGAAACACCCCTAGCTGTAACACCCTTGATAAATATGCATGTATACAATATTCTCGAGGATGTGACATCGGAAACTTCGGATTAATATCCTTATATGCCAATAGCCCCACCGTCTTCTGGGCTGAATAAAGCTAAGAGGCATTTCTGCACGTTACAAAATCTCCTGAATTCATCTTCAGTATCATGGCCAAGGAAGGAGGTTCTAAAGTGAAGACAATTCTCCAGAGTGAGGCCCTCCAGAAGGTCAGTCCTCCTCTCCCATTAACACTTGAATCTAATCTTTTTTTTTACTAGTATTATTTTTCTCTGTTGTCTGTTAACCAGCTCATAAGTTTCCAAAATTTTGAGTTCTTGTGTTGAATCCCTTTTTTTTTTTTTTTTCAATTTCACTCTTCCTCTCCCTGTCTTTTTTTTGGGTGTAATTGGTTAAATATTTTTGTTATGGTCTTATATATGTTTGTTTATCTGTGTTGCTCACGAGTGAGTTCAGCAGAGACATTTTTCATCAGCTTACATGAGTCAGTTGAGTAAGTAAACTTGCAAGAAAGAGTTTATAAGGGACTGATAATATACCCGATTGCATAAAGAATTAAAGATGAACGGCCTAGATTGCTAAGATGGAAAATAAGAAGATGTCAGTTTAAAGAACGAAAGTTCCCTCTGCTTTAGAATTTTTTTTTCTTTTTGTTGTTTGGGTGTGGAAAAATCTCTTTTTTCAGAATTAAGATTCTGCCTGTTCCCAGTTGATTTAGGTTAGGAAACTGAGCTGAATTTCTTATAGATGTACTTTGATCTGGAATTAGTCAGTTGGAGTACGCTTCAGGATTAGGAAATTATGCCTTATTAGTTAATTGAGGTTGTCTTCATACGCTTTCTGTCTTGGGCTCGAATTTTGGTTGTTTCCAGTGCCATTTCAACACTGCAGTCCTGTGCTTTCTCTCAAATTGAAAAGTACCAGCTCAATTTGAGGCAAAATTCACCTATTGGTGGTGTTCCTTCAAATTCCTGAAGAAAACCTGCGAGACCAGATGATAATTTTTTTTTCTAGTACAAACCAGATGATAATTTTCAGCAAATAAGGTTTCTGGCCTGCGAGTTGTCCAATTGTGACCTAATGACTTGATTCAATCCTTGATCATGATCTTTGGGCAGCTGATTCTTAACTGCTGGCTCGAACTGCGTTGGGAGAGGCATGATTTGATTAGGCAATCTTGCCGCCTTCTCTGTAGTTTTGACAATTTTTGAAGATTTCTGGGATGGGCGTTTGAAATAAATTTGGATGCTCTGAAAACCTCCGAAGGTGATTTTTTGCCTCAGAACTGAAAACTGATTTGTGGTTGTGGGAGGGAAATTTTTCTTTTTAGAAGAATGCCTCCTATTTGGAAACTGACTTGTGGTTGTGGGAAGAGAATTATTCTTTGTAGAAAAACCCAGCCATGGAGTAGAGTTTGTTTTTGGGAAGCAAAGGGAAAAAGAAGTGCACTTACTATAAATTTGGAACTGCTTTAGAGCAACAATATTTTTTAGATTCTAAACAAAGAAAAGGTAATATTTGCATGAATAACCCCGTTGAAGGAATCTATAAATTTGATGACGACTTGAGATGAATTTGTTCACTATGCACAAGTGCCTTCTGTCCAAGCATGCATTCACTATTTAATTGCCTTGTTGATTCTGCTTATGTGCAGTACATCTTGAATACTAGCACATACCCAAGAGAGCATGAACAACTGAAGGAGCTAAGAGAAGAGACTGCCAGGAAATATGGTGCCAGGTAATGTGAACTCCTGATACTGACAGGACTTCTTAACTTCTAATTTTCAGCTCAGATACCTTTCTTCTTCCAGCTCAGAAAAGTAACACAAAGGCCTTTCAGTGATTTCTTAAAGCTTTGCAAATGACTATGAAGTTTCAAAAATATGTATCTTGGAATTCCTTTCCTGTGTCATGAATTTGCAGTATAGAAACCAATAAGCTTTCCAGTTTTTAATATTGCTTCTTTGCTTTTTGGAATGATAAGTCTAGATAAAGCTGTAGAAAAGAAACTTGGTCCTGCTTCAAGCTTAAATCTACGCTGATATACCGATCCCTTGAAGACAATAGGAAAGCTTTGGAGAAGTCCTTGATTTTGATCATATCTATATGATATTTTAGTCAGCTTAGTTGGTTTCCAAATTATCAAGCTTCAAATTTTCTTCAGCATTTTTGTACATATCTGACAGCTAAAATGGAAGCTACACGTTTCGCTGAAAAAAAAATGGCTGTTATCCATTATGCGGTAAAAATAGCATTATCTTGAAGGGGAAGTAAGAAAAAGTTGCTTCTTATTGTGTGGAAGTACTCAAGGAAGATCTATATACAGTTTAACCAGTTAGGATGATTACACATTGAAGGAAAACCTGGAAGAAGAGGTAGACCGAACCAATATCGAGTTAGCCAATCATGAAGATTTGCAAGCACATGGCTGTATGAACTCTATGAGCGTAGTTTGAGAAAATGAAACTACAATGTTTATGTAGTCAACCTTGGAAACCACCTGTCTTGTCCTTTACTGATGTCCAGGACCGAAAATACCATAACGCTTAATGGAAGAAATGCTGGTAATCAAACTTTTTCATGACTTAAGATCTTTTGGCTGTTCCAATTCTGCTTCTGCTATGAAGCATGATGATTAAATTACGTTTTGCTCTTTTCTTTACTTCGTTAATAAATAAAAAGACATAAAGTACCTAGCGAGCATTCTATTGCTCCAAAAGTTCTTGATTGGTTACACTGCTAGACCAATTTATACTGATGCAGAATTGTTTGCTCCAAAATGTCAATCAGCAATTGTAGGCCTGGAACCAGAGTTGATCTTGCAAAGTTGCATAGATGGGATGCATGATGCTTATTTGAAAGGAACATTTATACTGATCTTGTATTGCAGGGCTATTATAGGTGTGCCACCTGATGAGGGGCTCTTCCTGTCTATGTTTTTGAAAGTAATGAATGCCAAGAAGACACTGGAGATTGGTGTTTTTACTGGCTATTCTCTTCTTACTACTGCTCTTGCACTTCCTGATGATGGCCAGGTACATAGCTAACCATATTGTGTTGCAAATAAAAAATAAGTAGAACTTTAGACATAGCTAACCATATTCTGCTGCAAATAAAAAATAAGTAGAACTTTAGACATAGCTAACCATATTCTGTTGCAAATAAACATAAGTAGAATTTTAGAATGTGGTATTATTCTGTACAACTGATTACAAATAAATTGATGCAAATCTTGAAATACTGCATTCGTTTGCTTATATCAAGCAGATAGTTGCAATAGACCCTGATCAAGGAGCATTTGAAGTTGGTCTGAAATTCATCAAGAAAGCTGGTGTGGAGAACAAAATCAAATTCATCAAATCAGATGGCATTTCTGCTCTAAATGATTTGTTGAACAATGTGAGTATGCAGCATTTGCCAGAAGCTCCCTTCAGATTTTTCTGGAAAAAGTGCACTATAAAGTAACCACTAGTAGGTTCCCTTGAAAGTCTAGATAAAACTGATACTTTTTCATTCTAAAAAACCATAATACCAAGAATATAGTAGATTGGTCTGATTTAACTAGCAGCTCTGGATTTCTATTTGACTGGTAAGTGATGGACTTTGAAGCCTCTGCACATGACAAAGCTACCCGACTCAACTCGATATGGAAATCTTGATTTCTACCTCTCAAGAGAATGCAAATGATCTAAGAAAGTTTGAACTTTTCTCTTATTGCTTCTGTTCTTAGTTTTACTTCAACATGGATATTCAGTAGTGTTAGAAACATGGAGAACTGATGATGTAAGCCACTTCGATAGTTGCTGATCTTGAGGCTAACATGCTCATGCAGGAAGCTAGTGAAGCAACATTCGACTTTGCATTTGTGGATGCAGACAAGCCAAGCTACATCCAGTACCATGAACAACTAATAAAGCTGGTGAAGATTGGAGGAATTATCGCTTACGATAATACTCTATACGGTGGATATGTTGTCAGTGAAGAAATTGAAATGCACGAAAGATCCACTGTCAACAGAAAAGCCATCATACAATTCAACAACTATATAGCCTCGGATCCGCGAGTTGAGATCTCTCAGGTTCCTGTAGGAGATGGTGTTACATTGTGTAGGCGCATCATGGCTTAGCTGACATGATATTTTACATGAATTTTATTAATAGTGCAATTGCTACAGCATAGTTGGATGGTTTGCTTGGTCATAATTCCTTGATACTGTCCCAATAGCATTAGGCATAAGAAAGATTTCTTCTCTGAGCAACTTTCTTCCTTTTTTTTTTCTGCATTCATACCTCTACTTTAGAAAGTTAGCATTAGACCATATTAGAAGAATAATTCCGTGTGAGGTTAATGAGTGGTGAATTAGATTACTTTTGTCATAGTTCAAATGTTGATAATAGGCAGGGTATATAGATAGTGCCAGCCCAAAAGGAAAAAATATAGAAGAGCTTCAAAGCCCAAACACGAGGCCCTGAGCCACTGTCCACAGGATAGAGCAACAGGATCAAATTTTCTTCAGAAGTGCAAAAAAATTCACATCCATTCCTATGTTTTTTTTGTTATATATAGACGTCAACAGCAAGACAATTTGGCTATTTGTTGGGCAATTCCATCTTCCTTTTCGTTTATGGTGAAAATTTGTCCATTTCAAATTCACATGGTTTAGATTATTTTCTGGGCACATTTTTTTTTTTTTTCAAGAAGTGAAGAAATTGCATGTAAATAGTACCTTTCCTATACATTTGATTGCTTGTATTTGCATTTATTATCTTAAATTTATTTATTTTTCTTAAACTCTATCTACATCATTAGATGCGATTGAAAATGGAGATTGTTGAGAGCCCTGATCCCATTTACAGCCCATGAGTTAATGTAATTTTCCAGTATAGACAAATAAAACTTCCACTAATTCCTTGTTCCATCTCAAAAACCCTAACCCAAATGTGCCCTCTCTTCCAAGATGGGAACTATTTCATGCTGTACAAATGCTTCATCATCCACCAAATATATGCCATTGTTAGTGATTTTTGGGTATGAAAACCATCTACTCTTATAGTGGAATGAGTCACTCATATCCCTTTTTGTTTTAGGGGTCCATTTTGATACTTAGCCCATCGCATGTGCAAAAGGTCACAAACTCAGATGGAATTGATTACATTTGGTGTTACTTTCATGGATAGGTCAAAATATATACAGTATTATTCACCATAATTTTCTAAAGTGGGAAATAGAAAGTCAAAAAAATTAAAAAAAGAGGAAGATATGCCCCATCTCTTTAATTAGTAAGCAACGGTTCGTTACTTTTCGTTCATGATATTGTGTGCAAAAGATGTTTATTTCTTTAGGAATATTCATTATTTACTTAGCATAACCAATTATAATAATGGTTTTTGGTGAATCCAAGGTTTCAACACCTGAAATATTGGAGAGAGTAAATTGTTGATTTGCTAAAGCTTTGTGTTAAAAAAGTTTCTTCAACAAAGCGTAAATGTTACCGGTGCTTAAAAAGTCCTAAACCATCGAATTTGTATTTTCTCACCTACATGGTCATGCAAAGTTTGCGTGTCGTGCTAATTCAACCACAATTTTTATTCTTTACAAAGACCTTCATCTAATATTAGGAAAAAAAAAACGGTCGACGAAGTTTTAGTCTAACGGCTAAGATTTAAACCCCAAAAATTAAAGGTTTTGGATTCAAATTTTCTTACCCTCTTTCCGCTTCTTAAGTTCCATCCTCTCTTAGTAAAAAAACTAAATTGGAGGCCTCAACAATAAATATGCCACACATACCTATAGCAATTAGGTTAAGCCATAGGATGAATCACTTTGTAGGATTTTTTCAAGGCGAGTCAACAGTGCCTTGGTATAATCGTATAAGGTGTAGCCGTATTTTTGCATATTAGTGGAAATGATAGGTGTATCAAAACTCTTCGTATTTTTGCGTATATTACAAGTCAAATATCCAATATTTCACAACCACTTTTGTTTAATTAACTAACCCACCCGACCCCCCTCTCCCCCCCCAAAAAAAAACCTTACAACTCACCGAAGTGACTCCATTATTTACATTTTTGAACGCCTGATGCAAGCATCTCTTTTCTTGACCATCTTGAATGCTAGGTGAACGAATTTTGGTACGATTGCTTTAGATGTTTTATTCTTCAATTTTATTAATGGATGAATAGACAATATTGACACTAAACTCATTTTAGTAAAAAAGCAACTAATAGAGTCTCTTTTTGGGAGTTAACGTTTAAACTAACAGTAGATATTAATATTCCCTAAACTTAAAATAGAATTCAACATGATTTCAACATGTTTTATCAACTTCGTCACGCGTCTATTATAAGTAATTGTCGAGAAAAATATTATTATTTTATAGTATAAGTGAGAGGGTTCAAACTCGAGAGTTTTCACTTACACTCCTTTCCTCAACCGTTTGCTTTTCCTTTTTTGTTGCAATAAAACTCGACTGATCTCATACTTTTGTTGCCTAGGGCTATTTGAGAACTATACATTAGAATAATTATAAGCATCCTTATTGCTTATTGATTTGGAGCTTGAGGACGATATGAAACTAGAATTCTAGACTCTTCTCTCCTATAATTTAATATTATGATTCACGTCTCCAATGAGAATAAATAAATATCTAAACGAGAATAGATCCTAAAGTCTACGTTGACCATGTCTGCTTCTGCTTTGTCTATCAACAAGTTGAAACATTGCACTTTGGATTTTGTGTAAAATTAGATTCATGTGGCCGGCATATTTGTGGGACCGATAAATATAAAACATCCTTTTGCTCAAAATAAAATATTCAGTCAAAGCTTGCTCATACTTATCCTGTAATTGCATTTTAATATTGGTTTCTAGTTTATGAGGCATCACTGTTTCAAGTGGATTTCAGATGCTATTCTGTGTCTCAAGTGGAAAGAACATTTTTTTTTAATTCAACATTTTCTTAACCAAAAAAAAAAAAGAAAAGAAATGTTTGTTCATAACAAGTCCACAAACAGCATTCAATGAGAAGAATCTCAAGTGTTACGGTCTGTTTGGATTGCTATTTTCTCAAGTTTTTGGAAAAAAAAATTGTAATAATTTAATAAATATAAAGTAAAAAATTAATTAAAAATATATGTTAACAAATAATGTAAAAATAACTGCCGAAACACAAAAATTGATATCTAACAAAAGTATATTTGTATTCAGATAATAAGTTCCGTATTGAAGTAGGGCTTGTTGAATCCCATCAGAGAATTTTTTTTCCAAAAAAAAAAAAAAAAAACACATAGGATGACAGAAGAAACATATAATAAGAACAGAGAATGGCAACTACTTGCAATAGTGACCGAATCTATAGAGAAGATATTTTGACACATAAAACAAAACAAACAAAATATCAAAAACTAGGATGGAGTTGGTTTAATGTTCATCTTTTCTATACAGTACTTATCTCTTCCTGCAAGATCTTTTAGCCAATCTTTAGTAGATCATTTGCTTCCACCTTATAAATTTTGGAAAATTTTTAATGGACACTAGTAATTAGTACGCATTATTCTAAATACACTCATATACTTTTGTTGTCTCATTTGTAGTCTGTACTCAAAATTACCTCCAAAAGGACAAAAACTACCAGCTAACCCTCAATTGACCAGGGTGAATCGGATACCCATGGCCAGTGTAAGTGCTAAATCAAAATACTTATCTTGATTCCATCATCCATCATGTTGAGTTCCCACCTTGGGGGGGGGGGGGGTGGGGTGGCTGCTCCTCTTTCCTAAATGAACAGTTTTTTTTTGGTTGAAATGCAGATATAGAACTTAACACGAAAAAGAAAAGAAAAATTAAGACCTACAGTTGGCTTTCTTTTCCATTTTCTTTATAAAAGAATAAATCTGAAAATATGAAATGTTTTACAAACTTTTCTGGTTTATTATAGAATGATGCCCTGTAAACTGGTTCTGTTGACGACGTGCCCCTAAATTACCAATAGTATTGCTACATAGGTGTCGTGAGAATTTGTAAAAATACAAATTATTATGATATGAGCATAATTTTTCCTCACTATATCGGCTAAGTTAGCTAGCCAACATTTCCATTTGTGTATCATAAAAGAAAACAATATACCATCGCTAGTTATACATAAGTCACCATTACAAACATCAGCAGAAGAAAATAGGGTCTTGCAAAAATTAAAATATTCCAAACTTAGAAGATTATAATGGGGCTTTTTTATTACTTTGAAAAAGGCATATTCATCGTCTTTGGTTTTCCCTCAGTTTATTTTTAGAAATGTAACACAAATTGACATGCAATATAGTATTGTTTGATAAGCGTTCTTGATTCATGAGCTCGAATTTCTTAAAGTTCAATATTAGGAATTATAGTTATTTGATAAATTAATTGTGTAATTTACAAAGTTTCCCTCCCGCTTCCCATTTCTTAAATCTCATCTCTTCTCTGTTTAGAAATTAAAAAAAAAAAGAGAGAGAGAAAAAAGAGTGTAATTTAGGGAAATCTCCATTCATTATTACAAATAAATTAAAATCTATTTTGAAAGATAAGAAAATGTAGACAGTTCATTCCATGCTAGATACAAGTTGCACGCAGAAATAAATTCAAATTAAATCAAGTAAATCGATAATTGTCCAAATATTGTATCGAAGTCAATCCCCAAACTATTTTCCAAAAGAATTTACATTTTTATATGTTGGGGTCATCTCATCAAGATTTTACTAAATGTAGTATTAGGTCATTTATCTTTCTTTAGTTTTATATATTCCTTTAGACTCAAAAGTAGTTTTGGCATATTTACGTGATTTCATCCTTTTTTGTGATTTTCAATAACACATAAATCTCAAGTTGGAAAAGCACGGGACAACTTGATACAAGAAGGAAGTATTTTATCTTATCTTAACCAAAAAAAAAAAAAAATGTTTTGCACTATTGGATATCTTCTAGCTACATGGGGTGCTCAAGAACTTAATTGACAAGATAATGTAGACAAAGACTGCTGCTTTGTCCTTTTACCTAATCAAAAAAAAAAAAAATCCTAAAACAATAAGGTAAGACGAAAGGAATGGACACTTGTACTTGTATTAATGGGCACCTAATAGGAGGCACTGGGTCACTTTTTCTCAAGCTTATCCACTAATAATCGTCATGCTTAATTAATTAATTCACAAGCCTGGGAAACCATTTGTCTTGTGGGGCCCACGTACCTCGTGGAACACACACGAAGCGATGACGTATCTCCTCTCA